AAAAAAAGTGTACTGAAGATGGCATCAACATCTTTTCCTTGAGCTTCCTCATCGAGGCCAAGAAAGCACATGGATGCTGTTGCCAAGTCAAAAGTAACAGAACAGAATCAGAAAGAGAGAGTCGGGAAATAGGTGTACATTGAACAGTTCCTGTGCCAATCACCATTGCATGCTTTCTATACAAATATTACGTCATTTGGCCATTAGAGCCGCCATGTAAAGTGTAGGTTATTGGACATACTCTGTGCATACGCAAGATGAGGTTTAGAAAAGTTAGCCAGGTTGCCCAGAGTTATCATCTAGTTAATCAGTACACATTTGAACACAGGGCTGTCTGACACCAGACCCCTTGCTTGCTCAGTGTGTTTTCCTGACAGAACGAGAAGAGGAGAGAAAAAAATAGAGGCAGGAGTGAAAGAAAGAGCTAGGCTAAAATATAAAAAAAGAGACTTATTGAGAGCATAATGGAGCAACACATACAATTGCTTCAGATTATTTTCATGTCTGTAGGTACCTCTCTTCCCAAATTAACTTTGTTTTCCAGGGTCTAATAATCTGACATGCAAGGCAGGTTCATAGGTCCAAGGTTCATTACAGTATGGACCTCTGTTGGCCTCTGTGATATGTTATTCAAATTTCCTCTGGTAAAATGTATGGCAAGAGGGCATTTTTTTTTAACCCAAAGGAATTTATATATACCTGATTTCAGCCTTCCAACTTGCTCAGTGGTTTTTCTCTACTATCCATTTGAATCTGGTCTTCTATAAAGAGGAATGCCTTTCTACCTTTCCCTGCCACCTAACACATTCTATTTTTCTTCTCATTTCTGAGGCGGTGACACTGTGTGCTATATTTTGAGTGCTAATGTTGATTGAAGTTGTCCCTGAAAGGATGTGCACTTGACATGTCAAGGAGCGAGTGATTGACAACAGATACAAGTACTTTTAGTGTCAAGGCTTTGTCAAGTCATTGTTGTGAAACCCAGCCTACTGAATACCAATAATACCCTTTAGATTTTCAGTTCACAGATTTCTGGCTCCTTTTTCACCAGAATTTAGATGTTTCTAAGGAAAAGTGTAGTGTATTTTGACAAAGAAGAATAAATTTTCATTTTGAATCTCTAACAAAATGTATAATTTTAGCAAATATTATAAAATCAGTATTTGTTTTGCTTTTTTCTACCTGAAAATTCAAATATATTGGATTGCCTTTCCCTACATGTTTTCTGAAAATTCATTTTGTATGGAACCAGTTGTTAGTGGTGAGCTGTGTTTAATGGATAGGTTTTATAATATTCAACTAAGCTTCTAAGTTGAAAATTTTAACCCTACTTCCTCAGAATGGAGAAGATGATTACCTCCGTGCTAAATAAGATGACTTCCTCCTGCTACTCAAAGAGAAAATTGTTTTCATTATGGATGTTAATTTTTATAAACATTTAAAGAAATATTTTATTATGTTTCCTTCTGTGATAAAATTATCTTAATATTTTGATATTTTCTTTTTGTGTTAGCTGTCCAGAACACATGTGTTTTATTGTAATGCCAGTTATTTCCAAACTCTGGAAGAAGTCATTTGTTCTAAAAGCGTATGCTGTTCTCTTGGAATAGACAAACGTGTACTGGAATTGATGAATCTATGTCAGCAAATCTTTCGGGAGTACATTGCACCCTTTGAGAACAATTAAAATATGTTAACCTCTGCTCAGTATTAATTGATACAGATTTTGTCTTCTAGATCTTTAGTATTTGGATATTGGCTTTCTCCCATTGCATTTCCTTCCTTCCTTCCTTCCTTCCTTCCTTCCTTCCTTCCTTCCTTCCTTCCTTCCCTCCCTCCCTCCCTCCCTCCCTCCCTCCCTCTCTCTCTCTTTTTCTTTTCTTTCTTTTCTTTCTTTCTTTTTTCTGAGATGGAATCTCACTCTGTTGCCTAGGCTGGAGTGCAGTGTTGCGATCTCGGCTCACTGCAACCTTTGCCTCCTGAGTTCAAGCAATTCTCCTGCCTCAGCCTCCCGAGTAGCTGGGATTACAGGCATGCGCCACCACGACCGGCTAATTTTTTGTATTTTTAGTAGAGACAGGGTTTCACCATGTTAGCCAGAATGGTGTCAATCTTCTGACCTCATGATCCACCCACCTCATCCTCCCAAAGTGCTGGGATTACCGGCATGAGCCACCATGCCCAGCCTGCATTTTTTATTTTACAGTTGCTCTTTGGCTTCCTTGATCAACTAGAATCCTTGCATATTTATCCCCTAACCTGCTTCTTACCATTTTCAAGATACGTAAACCACTCAGTTACTTCTCATGGTAATGGTAGGTTTTCTTGTTCTTAGTTCTTATAGTCCTGATTCACCCAGAATTCTCTATAATGATGGATATTTTTAAATTCTTACAGTAAATTTTGACTAATAGTGATTTGTTCAGTGTATCTGGTGTCTATGAATAATCAGCCTTGAAATTCGTAAGTTCACACTCACGCATGGTCAATGGTTATGAATAAAACGTGCATTTCCTTTCATAGCAATTTATACGTAAAGATTTTTAAAGTTATTAATGGCAACCGCTGATTAAATTTTCCACATAGTAGGTTGTACTTATAACCCATGTACTTAGGTCATGGACACATCTTTTTTTTCAGTATCTCATTTGACTGATTATTCTTAACTCAGGCTATGAAAGTGACAAATGCAAATCTAATTCGGATGTTTGTATTTTCTCATTTTATTTCCTTGATCTGCCCTTTCAATACTGTGCCTTGTCAACATATATGCCTTGCACCAGCCAGACTGGCTTGTGAGGACCATCTTGATATACTTTGTTCTTTCCTACCCCCAATATACTTTATAAATTTTGGGGAAACTTTTTATTTTGAGATTGTTTTGAACTTATAGAAAAGTTGTGAGACTAATACAAAAAATTCCCACAGGTGATGCTTCATCCATATTCCCCAGTTGTTAACAGTTTACCACATTTGGTTAAAAATCTATATACAAATTTTTTCCTGAAACATTTGAGAATAAGTTACAGATACCACACCCTTTATCCCAACCTATGTTACGTATCTATTTCCTAAGAACAAAGACATTACCTTATGTAATCACTGATTAAAATCGGGAAATTAGTATTGATATAATACTATTATCTACTCAATAGCCCTTACTCAAATTTCACCAGTTGTCCAATAGTACCCTGTATAGACCAAAGGAAAAAAATTCTGGCACTACTTCCAGTCTAGGATTGTTCATTGCATGCCTCTCTAATGCCTCAGAGTTTCTTTGTCTTTCATGACTTTGATATGTTGGAGAGTACACTGCCCCAACACTTTGATTATATATTTTTACCTTGACCTAAACACTTCCTTCCCTTTTTTCATTTATTTATTTTTTTTTTTTTT